ATGTCAAAAGACCGCGTGGCCGCCCACCTACCAGATGGTCAGACTTCTTCCTGAAGATCATGAACGATCGGTTTGAGGCTCTTCATGTTCCCAGAGCGAACAGATGCTATTGGGCTACACTAGCACGTGACAGGGACAAATGGAGACGTTACTGGCGCCCGCTCGAGCAAATCGTAGATTAACGGGAAGTTAAGTGATTAAGTGATTTGCCTAAGACCAACATCAACTGTTAACAGATTCTGATTTTTCCCCCTCTTCCTCCTCTTTTTTTTTTTTTAAATCTTGAACTGGGATAAACAATTAGATATTATGTTGTTTTATCAGAAAACACTTTACTATATATCTTTAATCGATAATAGGCCATAAAAACTTTAATAGAATATCGTTAAAACACTCAACAATATAAAAAAATTCTTTAATGTTATATAAATGTCGATTTTTATAGTAGTTAAATTTGTAACCATTTTTTTCTTTACTAAAATATTTTGGGGAGCCTCACCAAAAGTGCTCAGAGCCCAAGGGCCACTCTTTGTGGTACATGGCCTGCAATGTGGACCTGATGAGAGCTGCTTAGTTTGGTACTACTGCAGGCTACCAGGGACCATCCCAGCAGTGCTCGGAGAACCTTAGGGCTGGACCACTGCTCCATGCAGAGAATCACACTGGATCCACACATGCCTTATATGTGCGCAGCTCTTTGAGCTATTTTCAGATGCCTTTTTTTCCCAATTGAATCACCATGTAATCACAGTTACAAAGTTGTTCATGATTGGCTTTCAGTCATAGAATGTTTCAATACCCCCCAATTTTCCACCTGCTCATCTCCTACTCCCCCAGTCTGCCTCTATGTATGGTGACACTCAGATGCCTTTTTATTGTTTTGATCGACTTGGTACTCAAAGATATTGTCATACTATATTTGATGTTCCTTAGTCTCAAGGGTGTTTGCCTTGTGCGCGGCCGGCCCTGCTGAGCTGGGTTTGATTCCTTTGCCCCTCTTGGAGAGCCCAGCAAGCTACCGAGAGTATCTTGCCCGCATGGCAAAGCCTGGCAAGCTCCCTGTGACGTATTCGAAATGCCAAACACAGTAACAAGAAGTCTCACAATGGAGACGTTACTGGGCCCGCTTGAGCAAATCGATGAACAATGGGAGGACAGTGTACTGCTGTTATTGCTTTATCTATTTTAATTAATGACTTTTCTGCCCTAATCTTCCATGGTGCTCCATATTTGGTTTTCTTTATCATGTAGTATTTTCCTGTATCTCCAGATTACCTATAAACTCATATAAGTTGCTTTCAGATTATGTAATACGGCTATGAATTTGTAAAATCATTTTGTGAAATATATGGTAAGTGACCAACAGAGAACAAATTGACTCAAATTTTTGTGTGTTTACACCATACAAGTTTGTTTCTTACTCAATATTAGTCCAATTTCAGTGTTTTATTATTCTATGTAGGTGGTTTTTATTATTCCATATTTGTACTATATATAATTTAACAACCTTATGGCTGCAAAAGTTCTCATATTCACTCACCTAAGGTAATAAGGTAAAAGGTAGAGATGTTTCAAAGCAGTTTCTTATGATAGAAGTAGAATAATTAATTCTTTATGGTTGTACTATTGATTTATACTTGATGCAAGTTCATTTGTTTTTGTTTTTATTTTTTCATTAATTTTTAATTTTAAAAATTTTTATTAGTGAGACATCATGAGGTACAGTTGTAGACTTACAAATTTTTGTGCTTGGGTTTCAATTATACAGTGATCAAATACCCATCCCTCCACCAGTGCCCATTTCCCACCACCACGGATCCCAGTATCCCTCCCACCCCCCATCCCCACCCCCATCTCCCCCTGACTCTGTGGCAGGGCAGTCCCTTTTGTTCTCTCTCTCTTATTGGGTGTTGTGGTTTGTAAAAGAAGCAATGGGTGACAGTCATGTTTGGTCTATAGTCTACTTTCAGCATGCTTCTCCCATCCTGGGAGGATCCTCCCAACACACTTTATTTGGTGTTCCCTTCTCTGTCTGAGCTGCCTTTTCCCCTAGCATGTGTGGTTGGCCTCCAAGCCATGGAGTAAAATTCCTGGTACTAATCTCGGCCATTCTTGGGTGTTAGTCACCTATTTTACAATTGCCAGAATCTGGAAAAAACCTGAGTGCCCGAGAACAGATGACTGGTTAAAGAAACTTTGGTACATTTACACAATGGAGTACTGTGTAGCTGTTAGAAAAGACGAAGTCATGAAATTTACATACAAGTGGTACTACATGGAAAGTATCATGTTAAGCGAAATGACTCAGAAAGAAAGGGATAGACATAGGAAGATTGCATTCATCTGGGGAACATAAAGTAACAAAATAGGATGTTTTTGTTTCTTTTAGTCTTTGAAATGTCTTGTTTCTATTTGGATCAACCTTTATTTATTTAATTTTTTTTTGGCTTTTGTGCCCAGTCTGGTCTACTCAGGAATCTCTTCTGGAGTGGTGCCGGCGATTGCAGGAATTGAAGCTGGGTTGACTACATGCAAAACCAGCATCCTATCCACTGTTTCTTCTTCTCTGGCTCATATTTGAATATTTGTAATAAATTGCAGCATTAAACTCCTTTACCTTACTACCAAATTGATAATTATTTCTGAGCTGCAAATAATTTTCTTTAATGTTAATGATTGAGCCTATAGAATGTTAAATGATTTCATGTTTACTTAGGTATTGTACATATACATTTTTAAATTTTTTGTTTCATTAAAGTGTTTCACAGCGTTATTCGTAGTTGGGATTTGGACAATTTACACCATTTCAGCACCAACCCCACCACCAGTGACAGCTTCCCTTCACCGGTGTCCCCAGGTCCCCTCCCACCTGCAGTCTGCTGTCTTGAAAGGCACCTTTTTATATTGGTTGTAAAAGTTTGGGTCTCATGTTTTCAGTGCTGTTGACTCTGTGGTTTAGATATTTAACTTTCCCCTATTAACACCACAAATAAACCCAAATCCTCTTGACCTCTGACCCCTGTTTCTTCTCTGTCTCTACCCTGTATTCTGTAACCAGAGGTCTTGCATTTTATATTTCATAAAATGGAAGAGTGCGGTTTATTCCCACTTTAACATTGCATTTCCTCGTCTGGTTATTCTAAATACCACATATAAGTGATAGTCATGTATTTATCCTTTTTCTTCTGGCTTACTTAATTTAACATATCTTCATTTCTATCCATGTTGCAGCAAATTGCATGGTTTCATCATTGTTTACAGCTGAGTAGTATTCCATTGCATACATATACTAGATTTTCATGACCCCCTGATCTGATGTTGTACATCTAGGTTGACTCCAAATCTTAGCATTGCACTGAATGCTGCAATGAATAATGGTGTGTGTATGCCCTTTGGAATGAATGGTTTTTTGTCCTTGGGGCAGACACCAAAAAGTGGAATTGCTGTGTCATATGGTGGCTCTTGGTGAAAAAGTATTGTATATTTTAATAATAACTAATTTTGTATCAAAAATTACTACTTTTTGAGAGTGTCAACAGTATAATATCTTGTCAGAAGAGTGATAATGGAAAGTTACAGTATGCCAAATTTGGCTTGGAGTTTGTCCAAGTAATCAGGTAATCAAGGAGTGTTTAACTTATTGGAGAAGAAAGGGAGGACGTCTCTGGGGACAGTTATTGGAGTTATTTGTTTCTTGACAGTGTGTTTTTGGTGATTTTTGAGTTCTCGATAGCAGTAAAGTGAAGTGGGAATACCATAGTAATTTTTTGAAGTAATTGTTAGTAGCCTTTTCTTCCCTTTACCTTTACAAATAATGACAAAGCTTAGCCTTCCTGTTTGGTAATTGAAATAGTGGACTTGTGTGAGGCATATTTTTTTCTGGTAGCGGAGATTGGTGAAGTTTTACTTTCAGGGAAATGGGTTTGTTCTTATTTGGGAATGCTCAGGAAATTTAAAACTCCATCTAGATTAATAGTCATTGTTGTTAGTAATAATGTTTAGCTAATTTTCATATATTCTCAGATGTATCAGCTTGCTGATGAAAATTCTGATTTTTAAAAAAAATTGTCTTTTTGGGCTATACTTGGATCACACCTTGCAGGTTCAGCGGACCATATAGGGTGCTGGAGATTGAACCCATGTTGAACCTGGGCAAGACAAGAAACCCATTTATTGTACTATCTCTCTAGGCTCCCCTGAGATCATTCTTAGGCTCCCCCAAGATCATTCTGCATAGATGTAATACTCTTCTGTTCCAGTGGTATGGCTTTCTTTTCAGGATTTCCTACTAATTGACATTTTTAGAAAGGATCGTCCGGGTTAAGTTTATTTTCCTCCTCTTACAAAACATGGTTCTCAAGGGCTGGAAAGGCCTCCTAGGTGCTTTTGCTTTTTTCCATAATTTTCTGTGAAGGAAACCTTGGGTAGTGTAGAGGGCTGGAGTTAGGAGGTAGTCAAAAGATCTGAAAATGAGAGTCATTGTATGGCTCTCATCACTCCTTCAAGGATGAGGGAGATTTAGGTAATATGAAGGGGAGCTGATGCGTTAGCTAGCACCAAGTTGCCAAAACTATTGTTTGTTGCTAAATTTTTGCCTCCCAAGCTCTTCTAAAATTAGATTTCTATAATCAGTTATTAGGAATTGTGTCTTAGTAGTTTCTAGAATATAAAATTAAAGTTTATGAATCTTCATTATTCTCATCTCTGGGTGGGCCAAACTCATTTCAGCTAATAAAACTCAAGCAATATGAAGAAAGTTAAAAAATATTCATTCTGCATTAATTTGCAAATGTCTTGCTATAGATAAATTTCTATAAACGTCAACATTATACACTGTGGAGTTGATTCAGAGTTTGGAGTAAAGGAGAATAAAAATGAAAATAGGTAAATACTTACTCAGTGTACATTAATGGTGTAAGAAAAATTCCATGATTATTTAGTAATGAAAGCAGAAATGTTTTGCGCCTTTAGAAAATTTATACTTTACCTCTTCATTGCAGAAATGTAGACAACCAGCTTCCGGGGCAAGCAATCCCAGCTGGATTCCCAGTGTATCCTGCCTTCAGCCCACTGCAGATTCTTTGGTGGCAACAGATGTATGCTCAGCAGTATTATATGCAATAGTAAGTAATTTTGAGTACGTTTTCTTACTGGGCTGTTTGCCTTAATTTCTTCTCTATTCTACAATTAATTGGGATTTCACTCTCTCACACACACACACATAAACATATATATAAATGAATTAAAATTCTGAGAAGGGATTTGCAAATATCTCAGGAGATATTAAAATTATTTGATTAAAACAAAATGCCTTGACATCCAGTTCACATTAGCTAAGCCTGCTTTATTTCTCTTAATTATACTTGGCAGTATTCAGATGCTTTATTAAATATAGCATTGCATTTATTTAAGAGGAAGAAAGAAACTTAGGAAAGTTTTATGGCAGGCATAAAAAATTTACATTAAGAGATGGGAAGTGGAATAAAAAGCTGTATAGAAAAAAAATATGTCAGGAACACTTTGTCTTTATTTTATTATATTTATTTTTTGTAATGGATCCCCATGAGGTGCAGTTACAGACTTACAAACTTTCATGGTTACATTTCAGTCATACAATGCTCAGTACCCATCCCTCCACCAGTGCCCATTTTCCACCACCAGTGGTCCCAGCATCCCTCCCACCACCCCCAACCCGTCCCCTCCACCCTGCCCCGCCTCTGTGGCAGGGCATTCCCTCTTGCTCTCTCTATCTCTCTCTCTCTTTGAGTATTGTGGTTTGCAAGAGAGGTATTGAGTGGCCATCGTGTTTGGTCTACAGTCTGTTTTCAGAACGCATCTCCCATCCCGAGCGGGCCCTCTAAGAACCCTTTACTTGGTGGTCTCCTCTCTATCTGAACTGCCTTTTCCCCCAGCATGTGAAGCCAACTTTTAAGCTGTGGAGCAATTCAGAGAGGCTTTGTCTTGATGTGTAAGGCTCCTGTTAATGTACTCACTCAGGTTGTTCTCTAAATCTTCCTGATGGGCATGGAATAGTCAGAGCACCAAGTATAGTTTCTTTGCTTTCTTTGGTCTTCCAGTTAACATCTGTAGCATCTTAATATTCTATGCTTTTTGTGCCTACGATGCTGTTATTTTTAGTTTGTTTTGTTTTTGTTTTGGAGCCACACCTGGACATGCTCAGGCGTTACTCCTGGCTCTCAGCTCAGGAATTACTCCTAGTGGTGCACAGTGGACCATTATGGGGTGCTGGGGATTGAACCCAGGTCGGCCACATGCACGACAAGTGCCTTATCCACTGTACTGTCACTCTGGCCCCTCTTTCTGCCTTTTTGATTACTCATTTTGTATTCTGTGTAATCCATTTTCCTTATTTTTAAAAATGGAAAACACCTTTTCATCACTCTCCTTTTAGACTCTTTGCTCTATTTTGTAGTACTACTACTAAATTAGTAATTTCCTCTCCACTCTCCAAGCCCCCAAATGACTTTCTTGTCTGCTGTGATATTTTTCCTTAACCTCTAGCATAAGGATAACCTACTTTATGAACTTCACATCCTAGTTCTGTTTTGCATAACTCCTTAATTTAGGAAGACTTGACCTTACCTGTTGCTCCATATAATATGGTGTGTGTGTATATATACATATACACATATATAGTATGTATACACACACACACACACATATATAGTATAATATGTTAGTAGTTACCATATTCATTTTGTGTTCAGTAGTCTGTTGGATACTTTATAACCCTGTTCTCATTTAGACATCTCAGACCTGTAAGATAAGTGAGGCTTATGCAGTTAACTATTCAGTAATATAATTTTATGTATAGCATTTAACTTTTGAGCCTCAAGCTCTCACTTGATGAAGTATAACTCACATGTTAATCAAAATTTATGAATTGATCATTTTGGAAACTGAGAAACCCTATACAGAGACTGGTACTAGCACACAAGGTCTTTGACTTAAATAGGCTTTTGTAGCCCTCCTGTTGATCGTCGATTTGCTCGAGCGGACCCAGTAACGTCTCCATTGGAGACTTTGTTGTTACTGTGTCTGGCATATCGAATACTCTCGGTAGCTTGCCGGGCTCTCCGAGAGGGGCGGAGGAATCGAACTCGGGTCGGCCATGTTGGCCGCTTGTAAGGCGAACGCCCTACCCGCTGTGCTATCGCTCCAACCCCGGCAAGCTACCGAGAGTATTTGATATGCCAAACACAGTAACAACAAAGTCTCCAATGGAGACGTTACTGGGCCCGCTCGAGCAAATTGACAATCAACGGGAGGGCCTTTACCTTTTACCTTTAATTTTTCAAACCTTTTAATTATAAAATGATTGCTACTGCCACTGCCCTCCCGTTGTTCGCTCGAGCGGGACCAGTAACGTCTCCATTGTGAAACTTGTTACTGTGTTTGGCATATTGAATACGTCATGGGTAGTTGCCAGGCTTTGCTGTGCGGGCGAGATACTCTCGGTAGCTTGCCAGGCCTTCCCAGAGGGGCTGAGGAATCGAACTCAAGTCAGCCATGTTGGCTGTGTGCAAGGCAAATGCCCTACCCACTGTGGTATCGCTCCAGCCCATAAAAAGATTATATTAAAAAAGGTAGGATAGTAAAAATTATTCCCTGTGTGCTTATCACTCACTTTCACATTTATTATCAGTTCACTGCAAGTTCATGCTACTATGCTGGTTAATTTAAAGCAAATACAGATGAATTATTTTACTGGGGATCATTTTACAAGATTTTTTTCTTTCAAACAAACTATAAGCAGACTTCAGAACCACAGGTTTTTATGAATTGGCAAGGACTTCTGTTGCCAGTAGTCACTGCAATTCTCTAAAGTCAGGATTGAGTCAAAGAGTTAGCTGGGCTGTAGTAGCACTGTAGCACTGTCCTCCTGTTGTTCATAGATTTGCTCGAGTGGGCACTAGTAACGTCTCACAACAAATTGTGAGACTTGTTGTTACTGATTTTGGCATATTAAATACATCACGGGGAGCTTGCCAGGCTTTGCCGTGCTGGCGAGATACCCTCAGTAACTTGCCGGGCTCTCCGAGAGGAGTGGAGAAATCGAACCTGGGTCGGCCATGTTGGCCGCGTGCAAGGCAAACGCCTTATCTGGTGTGCTATTGCATAGTACAGCACAATTTTAAAATAATAACAACACTATTATCACTAGTAGTAGGCAGACAGGATGGATTATAATGTACGTTTTTGGGCAAATATTTTAAAACATGGGTCTGAAGGAGGTGTGGGGGATGTAGGGATGTACCGTAGCAAGAGTTCCTTAGTGGAAAGCATTGTCCCTCATACAGTAATTTAGTGAAAGAGAAAAAACTTAATAATATTTTCAGCTTTTATCTCTGTACCTCCCCCCACCCATTTTAGTTAACCATAGTATAGAACCAGATTCGGTTCTTTAAAGAAAACATTTTCAAGTCTGTAATTAATTCTCTTATTTGCCAGACTAGTTTCCTGAAACACTAGCGTGTTCTTTCCTATGCTGGCCATTGTTTTTGTCTCTCCTGTTCTGTTGAACTTGGCTTTGTGCTTCTCTACCACATGGAGTACAAAAGTTGTGGCAGTTCTCTATTAGATATGGGGGGGGGAAGGTATAGTTCCCTAGGAACCTTTTGAAAATAGGACATGATGTGGTAAAATTTTGTTTTCTTTGAATATTTTTTGGCAACTATTTCAGTCAAGCTGCAGTTTCGGCCCATGCCACATCAAATGCCAGTACAGCTCAGCCTGCTGTTTCCCAGCCTCTACATTTGGCTCGTGTTCCTGGCAATGAGCCCCCACCAGCTCCCAACCTCATGGCCCAGGATAATCGACCCATGAATGAAAATGTTCAGATGAATGCCCAGGGAGGTCCAGTACTGAATGAAGAAGACTTTAATCGAGACTGGCTGGACTGGATGTATACCTTTTCACGCGCTGCAATCCTCCTCAGCATCGTGTACTTCTACTCTTCTTTCAGTCGGTTCATCATGGTAATGGGAGCCATGCTGCTGGTCTATTTGTGAGTGATGCTCATTAACTGCGTTGTGACTTTTAATTTCGGGAACCTTTCACTATGGAGCGTGATGTATGTTACGTGAGTCATGAATATGGAGCAATATGAGTAGTAGGCTTTAGGTATCTGGCTAAGACCAGGGGAGTATAATGGATAAATCCAGGACAAAATCTCATAAGAATGTTCATCAGAATTGCCTAGAACCTGTTCACATTCCACGTATTATATCAGTTGTTATTTATATGGAGACACACTCATCAGCTGTTTAGAACTTGCGGGAAATACGCCTTGTACGTTTGCTTAGGATGTCTTTTTTTATTATTGTCAGCACTGAGTCCTTTAGGTATAGATCTGATTAAAAAAATTTTTTTTAGTTTCTGTTATCTTTTTTTTTCTCAGGGCTCAAACAAATATCTAATCGAATTTTGTTTTGAAAAATATCAAAAGATTTTATGTGACTCCTGATAAATCTTCACTAGCTAGCATAAAGAGTTAATACTGTGGTAGACTTTCAGACTCACATTGATTTTTATAATGCTCTCAATACTCAGAGTGTCAGTCCTTGGCCTAAAGTAGGAAGTTTGGTCTTTTGTTTATTTTACTTCCAGTAGAACAGGGTTACAAATTTCTAGCGTTACAAATAAAAATTGTGGTAACTTTCTTTCTTCTTCATTTTTACTGAACAGACACCAAGCTGGATGGTTTCCTTTCAGGCAAGAAGGTGGTCAGCAGCAGGCTCCTAACAATAATGCTGAAGTTAACAATGAGGGGCAAAATGCAAACAATCTAGAACTTGAAGAAATGGTATGTGAGTGAGGTTTCGCATTTTTCAGTATAGAAGTTTCTCCTCAGCATTCTGTGGCATCAACATGATCAGCCACTGTGTGTTCCCTTGAGTATTTATTGGTGGAACGGCACATGAAGAAAAATTGACATTTAAATTGTGGTTTCATTAGGAAGAACTTGGAGTATGACAGGGAATCAGTTGTAGATTTAAGTGGAAGAAAGAGCTAACATTCTTTTTTGTGGGGTTGGGGTGGTGGGTGTCTTTGAAGCAGTGCTTAGTGCCATTCCTGGTGATACTCGGCCTGGCTGTGTGAGCCTGGTGGTTCATTGCTTGAACCCAGCTCTGTGATGCTACTCAGGCCCAGCAGTGTGGGGTATGATCAGGACACATCCAGTTGTACTCGTAGGCCTTCAGGGCAATACCTGGCTGTGCTCGGAGGACCAGGACACTGTGCTCAGTGTCAGGGATTTAACTTTCATAATCCAGGCAGGCACTCCACTCCAGCCACTGAGCTCTCTCCAGCCCTGCTAATAATCTTCTTCTGAAAAAGTGATGCACCTGGTGACAATTTATTGTAGTAATTGGCAGTTACCCCTTTGATCTTGAACACTGAAGAACTGATCTTTTGTTTTTGTTCTTGTTTTTTTTAGAACTGATCTATATGGACTGAAAGATATGTAATGAACAGACATGTACCACATTTTTTTTTTTACATGTCCCTATTCCTTTTTTCTGCAAGGAAGAACTGAACCTCTTTTCTATTATGACAGTGCTATCTCTTCAGATTACTTAGGAATCTGTTTCTCGTTTTGTTTGGAAGGAACGTCTTATGGATGATGGGCTTGAAGACGACAGCGGAGAAGATGCAGGTGAAGATGCCAGTGCAGTGCAGAGGCCTGGACTGATGGCGTCAGCTTGGTCTTTTATCACCACCTTCTTTACTTCACTGATACCAGAGGGGCCTCCCCAGGTTGCCAATTAAACCTGAAAAACTGTGCCAGCTGCAAAGGGAGGGCTTGACTTTAGCAAAGTGTTTTAAATAACAGTGCAATTTCAAAAAAATTTATTACTTTCTTTTCATCATGTATAGAGGTGTTTTTTTCTTTGAGCTTCTCATGCATATGGATATTTTAAGCACAATGGACTGCTAAGTGTGTGATTTTTTAAAAAAAAATTCTAACAACAATAGTGTAACATATTGGTCTTCAAGATTTTATTAATTATGCGTATTATGCCCTATTTGTATGTCTGGTTTCTTTAAGGAGCTGCTTCATGTGGAGATATCTGTAGTCAGTAGCCCTCCCCCTGCTCTTCAGTGTGTAATTTGAATAAATGTGTCTATTTTTTTGTGAATTGTCCTGAAAGTTATAAACAGTGACTTCATAGTTTAAATAAAGAATATTATTTACCGAAAATATACTAATAGCATTTTGCCTAGCCATAAAGCAGTACATTTCAGTTAAGTCTCCTTAGTTTTGACATTCGGATAAATGAAAACTTATTTTAAGGGCATATATCCCATCAATTGGAATTAGTATCTTAACAGATGTAAGGCAGCTCTTCAGTGGAATTACTAGTGATTAATGTTTGATACAGCAGTACTTTTATAGAATAAGATGTTGGAAATCACTCCCTGTAATTTTTAAAAATAAACGGTCAATTATGGTAAAACTGTTTATAGGAGATTTGTTCAAATTCTTTAATAATGTACTCTTCACATGCAAAAATTTGGTGTAAAATCAGTAGTTGTTTTGAAAGGTTGACTAAAGTCTTCTAGGCTATTTTCACTTCTATCCCGATGCTATTTGTTTACAAGTAGTCAGAGCTCTCAGTAGTTCTTTTAAAAATGCAGTTGGCACATATGTATATATTTAACAATTGTGTCCTAGTCACATTTTCTGTTTTGTTTTTGGTATATATAGTCTTATGTGTAATAAACAGACAATATGGGAAAAAAATGCCTGTGAAATCCAGCTCAGTATTTCATGAGGAAGGCAATGATATCTTACAGGGCAGGTAACTCAGATTGAACACACGAAGAGAGGAGAGCCTTCTACAGAAGCCCTTCTGTTTTATCTCATGAAATGTAAAGTTCTGTGGGATAACCAGTATGTGATTGATTATTAGGAGGTAAGAAAGCACCCTTAAGGACTGGAATGATAGTACAGTGGGTAGGGCATTTGCCTTGTATGAGGCCGTCCTGGGTTCAATACCCAGTATCCCATATGTTCCCTTGAGCACTGCCAGGAGTAATTCTTGAGCAGAGCCAGGAGTAAACCCTGTGCACTGCCGGATGTGACCCAAAAAGAACATTTCAAGATGAAACAAACAGGTTAACCCTTTGAAAAGTAAATTTAGGTTTCTGTTTATAGATTTCATTCAAGATGGGATTAAGTATGAACAATTGAACCATCGGGAATACTAATAGAAAACATTAATACTTTTATAATGTTGGGGTGAGAAAAAAATACCTTTATGGCAGAATCTATAAAAGATTTTTCTGTATATAATGACTTGACATGTTAATTAAAAGGCACTTATTAATGAAACATTATTTTAAAGAGATTGCTTTTAAAATTTAGTTTAAAAATGATAATACTCCACTAAGAACGTGCTTGCTTCGGCAGCACATATACTAAAGAACATAGAATAAAAGAAAATCTCTGCAGTAAATGGTGTTGAGAAAACTGAATATCCACATACAAAAAGATGTCCTGTCTCATACCATACACAAAAGTTAATTCAAAGTGAATGAAAGACTTGAATATTATACTCGAAACTATAAAAAGTATTGAAGGGGGGTAGAGAGATAGTACAGCAGGTAGGGAGCTTTCTTCTATGTGGCTGACCCATGTTCAATCCACAATACCACATAAAGTCCCCGATGCCTGAGGGGCTGGAGTGATAGCACAGTGGGTAGGGCGTTTGCCTTGCACATGGCTGACCTGGGTTTGATTCCCAGTATCCCATATGGTCTCCCGAGCACCACTAGGAGTAATTCCTGAGTGAAGAGCCAGGAGTAGCCCCTGTGTATCTCTGGGTGTGACCCCAACCCCCCAAAAAAGAGTGATCCACTGAGCATAGAGCTAGGAGTAAGCCCAGAGCACTGCCAGATGTGACTCAACAACAACAAAATCTATTGAAGAAAAACACAGGTAAATCACTCTATTATAGGCTTTAGTATGTCTCTCTTCCCTTCATCCTGGGATTTGGATTTGAGAAGAGGAGAAATAAAAAGAAAGAAAAATGGGTTTACATCTAACTAAAAAGCTTCTGCACGTCAGAGGAATTTATTATTAAAATGAAGCCATTATAATGAATGGGAGTGAATATTTCCACTCTATATGTCTGACAAAGGACTAATAACCAAGATACATAAAGAACTAATAAAATTTAAACAAGAAAACTTAATAAATATGGGGAAAACAGCAGAACAAGTTTATGTCTCCAAAGAAGACATAGAGACATAGAGGTAATCAGTACATGGGAAAAAAAAAACCTCATTATCTAGGGAAATGCAAATCAAAATGACACCAGTGAGAATGGTCTAGGTGATGATGGAAAACTTTTAACAGAGAACTGGGACCTATATAAAAACTCTAGAGCTGAAAAAAATATTAAAGCTGAATTTTTTTTCTTTAAATGCCATGGTTTACAAAGTTGTTCATGATGTTTTTGTTACAGGCATTTAGGTTTTCAACACTAGTTCCACCTTTGAGCTCTTCATCCACCATTACCTCTGTTTTTCCAACCACCCCTCAGGCCTGCCCCCATAGCAGGCCAAAAATAATTTATTTTAAATTGCTTGTTATCAGTAAATGATAATGGGATGATCAAAAAATACTTAAGTAAATAAAAATTTGTGAAAATTGTATCTCACCATGGGGACATTAAGTCCTTGTCTGAGGGTTTACTAAGCTACTGTTGCTACTTGAACCTTCTGTGTTAATATTCTTGTTAGTTGAGATTAGTTGGCTTCTACATTCCATTCCATCCAGTCTTGTGTGCTTCTACTGGGATGTTAGGATTAGAGAGTTTGCAGATGTCACAGCCTCAGTGTGGCCAAGTGCTCCAGAAAATCCACAGTATTTTGCTGGGCAGTGGAAACTTGGCCCTCCTGAGATAGCCATGAAGGGCTCAGCTGGGGTCAGTGTATCTGGTCTAGTTGATCTCTTTTGAGATGTAAATACGAATCTTTGGGGCAGGGCTGTAGATGGGCTCATGTGGTGTGGGGGTGATGAGTGTGGCTGCCTGGGCTTCTGTCTCTATGGGGTTGGAAGTGAGTTTATAGAGATGAGGGGGAGATTGCCCATCCTGACTCTGGGAAGGACCCAAGTTTTCACCAAAAGGACCCTGTCTGAATTTAAGAGATCAGTAGATGACTTTGATGATGACCTAAGAGAATAAACAAGTGACAGGTAAGAAAATGTTCTGATGGATGTTGAGGAACAATGAGGTAGACAGTATTAATAGAGACAATGTTTATTTAACAGCTAAGAATTTTCCAGAATTTATGGCAGTGAAACATTTAAGAAAGCTTTTGGCATTTAAGCAAGATAAATTCATAGAAAATCACATGTGATTATGTCACAGTAAAATTGTTGAAAAGATGGACTGGAGAGATAATACAGTGGACAGGGTGCTTGCCTTGCAGGTAGCTGACCTGGATTTGATCCCTGGTACCCCATATGGTTACCTGAATAGTACCGGGAGTGATCCCTGAGCTCAGAGCCAGGAGTAAGCACAGAAGACCACCAGGCGTCCCCAAACCCACCCCACTTCAAAGAAAAGACCCAAAGCCAAATACAAGTCTTTTAAGTAGCCAGGGCTGGAGCGATAGCACAGCGGGTAGGGTGTTTGCCTTGCACGCAGCCAACATGGCCGACCCGAGTTCGATTCCTCCGCCCCTCTCGGAGAGCCTGGCAAGCTACCGAGAGTATTCGATATGCCAGACACAGTAACAACAAAGTCTCCAATGGAGATGTTACTGGGCCCGCTCGAGCAAATCGATGATCAACGGGAGGGCCTTTACTTTACTTTACTTTACTTTAAGTAGCCAGGGAAAAAATATAGATTACTTTCAAGGCAGTTAAACGTAAGAGGTGATCTTTTTAAGGGATCCAAAGAAAACCAGCAAAAATCCGTTAAAAGGCTTTCAGACAAAATACTTCATTGTCATTGCAAGGTATCGGACATACTAGTAGAAAAGGGAAGTTATTACAGATCACAGCTTTGAAATTCAGAAAGCAAGAGAATAATGAAAGTATAAATCTAAAAATATTTCCACAAAGCAATACTTTGATTTTCTGAGGTCTCCAGTATATGAAGCACTTAAGTAAGATAGCTCTGTCCCGTAGCACTGTCCTCCCATTGTTCATCGATTTTCTCGAGCGGGCACCAGTAACATCTCACAACAAATTGTGAGACTTGTTACTGTTTTTGGCATATCAGGTAGCTTATCGGGTAACATTATTGCATTATCGGGTGCTTGCCAGCTTTGTCGTGCGGGCGAGATACTCTCGATAACTTGCCGGCTCTCCAGAGGGGCGGAGGAATTGAGCCCAGGTCGTCTGTGTGCAAGGCAAACACCCTACCCGCTGTGCTATCGCTCCAACTCGAGGATGGCCGAATGGTCCAAGGTGCCAGACTCAAGATAAAAAATAGCATGTAAGATGAATATGAGATTAATGGAATTGATATTTGGAGGTTTTTGAATATGTATTGGGAGTAGAAGTGGTGAAGGCACTATTTTATATTAGAAATTAATAAAGTAGGGCACATCACTTTCTATCATTCTAAACGAATAAATCAATGTAAGTATTATGAGACTGAAAAATCCAAAAGAAGGCAAGAAAGCATAAATAGATGGGAATAAATGGAAAACAGTAAGATAGGTTTTAGCCTAATTGCATCAATACTTCAAGCATATGTAAGTGGACTAAATGTTAGAATTTGATGACTGTCAGCTTGAATAAAAAATTCTTTGAGACATTAAAATGGCACACCTTAAATATAATACAAAAAGGTTGCCAGTAAAAGGTTGGAGAAAGAATTATCAAGTGATAGCCAACAGAAGCTGGTGTGATCCAATGCAGACCTGAAGATTAGAAGCTTTCAGGGCTAAGAGGAATATTTCACAATGACAAGAATCCTGGTTCACTTCCTCTGGACGAGGCACTTTCTGGAGACATCTGAGCGGTCTGTGAAGATCAGAAAGACTGCCCATCCCTGCAGAAATCCATCGACATTTCTCACAGCTAACAAGTCTAGTAGTGTTTGAAGAAACAGGTGTATGTGCATACGTGTGCATGGTGTGTAGGGGAAGAGGAAACATTCAAGAGGACAATAAATATCACATTTTCTTTATAGATTAAATTCTAGCTCAGAGCCCCGATCCCTCACCCTTGCCTTTTTGGATCAGCACAATTAAGAAATGTTAGTAATAGAACACTGTAATGTGCTTCTTGTTCTAAGTACTTTGCAGGTCCAGATATCCTCACAGCCTCCCAGGGGGCGGTTTTGCAGATAGAAGCTCAGCAGTGCTGGTACTGAGGTGGGGCAGTACCCTGGTACGTGCTGCTCTCACCAGTCACTGCGCAGTGTGGCCTCCACTTTTTACAATTGGACTTTTGGATGAATACCATCATTTATAAACTATCTTTGATTTGGGTAACTA